TCCCTCCACCTTGCTATGCAAGTCAGTCCAATCTGTCATTTCTGTTTTCTAGACCCCACCCTATTTTTATCTTTAGATCATTAGGGCTACAGCCCTTCCTGCAACCTGAAAGCAAACTGAGCTGTGGGTGAGGGCATGACACATGGCATTTGTCATCAGAGCCATAACATACACTAGGCAAGATGAGGGTTCAAAAGAGTTTACAGGCTGGGCAGCCTACCTTGAAATATTAAATGCATTGAAGAATTCAGATGCATCTCAGATCTACTGCAGAGGAGGACAAACTCAATTGTATTACAGATTTCACATCTATTGCTTTTTCAAAGCCGTAATAAATCACATATGACCAACTTGAATTCCTCAGCTTTTTAGAGCACATGCATCTTATTTTGCACTTTGAGGAACATACACACTGCCTAGTTAAAACACTCTTCCTCAAAGCCTCGCAGAAGAACATTACTACTAGCCCTCAGTACTCATACAGAACAGCCAGCCAGTTTTTACTCTCACTCAGTAATAAGTCAAGTTCTCACTACTTGGTAGAATATGCCACCTAGAAGGATTATCATGTCCTACTTCCTTTATAAAGGTGCAAAAATCAGCATACTATTTAGAAACTGAAATAAACAACACACAAATACCGCCCCCCCCAACTGAGTTTCACCCACGTACCTGTTGCTTCTTCATCAAAGCAAGCAAAAGCATTCCTGATTACATCTTCCGGATCAGTGCCGTTTAACTTCTCACCAAACATTGTGAGGAACATCGTGAAGTTTATGGGGCCTGGAGCCTCATTCATCATGGCATCTAGGTATTCATCCGTTGGATTCTTGCCTACAAATAGAGGGATTCATATTTGGTTTAGCTTTCAAACTAAAAGAAAATAAAATCTGAATAGCACAATACCAACTGGGACACCTCTCATAAGCTGTCCCAAACTCAATTATTTTAATTATAACAGCACAAATTTGTCTGGCAAACATAAACAGAAAAGGGACATTACCAAGGGAGGCGAGCATATCATGCAAGTCTTCTTTGTCGATGAAGCCATCCCTGTTCTGGTCAATCATGTTGAAGGCCTCCTTGAATTCCTGAATCTGTGACTGATCAAACATTGCAAATACATTGGAAGTGGCACGCTGAGGGCGCTTCTTGGTGGTCTTCGTCTTTGCCTTTTTGCTAGACATGTTGATTTTTGGACACTAAGAGAGAATATGGTAAATACAGTAAGATCAGAGTTAGGACTTCAAGAAAAACTGTACTAAGGTTTAAAGTTCACAGACAGAAAACACCTCTAACACCCTTCTATTTCCTCTTATTGGAATACATGCCCCTAATCAAGACGAGAAAAAGAGAAGTAGAAAATACAAACAAATGACAGACAGACTACTACCAAAAAAAGGTCACCAGAAGAAGACATAGGTTAAACTTAAATTTCAGTCTCCAAAGGGACAGCTTTTGTCTGGAACCCCTTCTTGATACATGCATCTGCAAGAAGGGAACTTGGACTGGTGTCGAGTCTAAAGGAGCAAAGAGAGGTTTTGAGAGCTGTTATTAAGCCTGTGAAAAACCTCTGTGTGGATCTGCACACATAACTGTGTGCAATATTAGGTAGTAGGGGAGAGAGAAACACAACTCGGTCTACCTGAACAAACTCTGAAGCACCCATTCATGACACCTGACAGCAGTAACTAGTTGCTCCTCTGTATATTGATGGGTCTCTGTCCTTGCCTTGCCTTCCACCCTCAAACTAGGGGAAAACTGTGCAAGCTATATTTCGGCACATACCAATCAGCTCTGCCTGACCTCCATTTACTTTCATGCATTTAATTTTACCTGAAATATACTACAGGTCTGCCATACCTGAAAGGTGACATCTGCTGCCTACTCCTTTAAGCAAAAAGGGAAAGCAACCAACTCAGATCGCTCTTCCTCCTCTCCCTAGAAAAACTGCTCAGAAAAAAAAGTATCTTCACCCTGTTACATTCAGGCTAACTGAGCCTGGGTCTGAACAATGCGACAACTCTCAGCTCTCCAGCGAGCACAGCACTGAGATTTAAAAAAAAAAAAAAAAAATCTTTTTATTTTTTGGCCTCAGAGAAAGGCTGATCTTTCTTCAAAAGCGGCATCCCGCCCTTGGCTTCAGGGGCACACAGAGTCGAAGAACTCTTGCTCTCCCCCATGAAGAGACAACGCCATCGGCCCGACGCCATCACTTCTCCGCAGCTGCAGCTGCCTCAACGGCTGCCGCCAACGGTCACTGGCTCGAGGCCGTCTCCCAACGGTCACTCTCTCCACAGCCCGTTCCCGCCCCCCTCCAACACCTCTCCGCCAGCGGCACCCGGACCCTCTCAGTCTCACCTCAACTGTTGCTGCGGGAAGCCGGTAGGTGACAGACGCGGAAAGGAGGAAGCGGCTGCAGCTCCGCTACTTCCCGGAGAAACCATCGCCCTCCTGAGCGGCGGGTGGGGACGAGCGGCGGGCCGACACCGGGTGGCGGCGGGGGACAACGAAACGGCAGCGAAGCCTTTCTCCTAACGATCGCTACCGCCTCCTGCTCAGGGTGGCTGGCTCGGGACGTCCTCGCAGCCGCTTACTCTT